TAACCTGAAATTATAATGTTATACATTTAGTGAAAAACAAAAGCATTTCAACCTAAAAATTTGAATTGAAATAATCAATGATTGTATGTTCTTAAAAAGTGGCAGCACTGTCAGTCTGGACCCCAAAAATCAAGAAGGTCAATGATGTTGTAGTCCTGATTGCAAACTATTAAACAGGTTGTGGTTGTTTTATTCTCTTATTTTAAACTGTCTGGTATTTTATATTGGTATACATGTAGCTGCTCAGTGGCAGATCCAGAACTTTTTGTAAGGGGGGCCCGCTGACTGACCTAAGAAATTTTTTCCCACAAAAGAGGGGGGGGGTCAATCTTAATTACACCTACATGTACGAAAGTATGAAAAATCTGCAAATACATGACTGAATTTCACTGAGACCACACAATTTGTAGTCTGTGTTGTAAAAATGGTCAATAGCTGTAGGCTATAAAAAATATTTAGAGAACTTGGCAATGTTAATTATAGACAATAATATTTTAATGTTTGTTTATGTACATGTGCACTTGTTTGTATTCTTAAATCTTTTAACTTCCAATTCATTTGAGACAGAGTTACATTTGTAAGTCAATAACAGGAAGAAGAAAGAATATTTTCCATGAAATATTACATGCAACTTTTCTCACAAGTAAAAATAACTATTTGAGTATAACTTTAATATCTTACCTTCTTCATTCATTTTTGTACATATAGTTGATGAAAAGTAATTTGTTACAACACTACAACATGTACAACGTTTTAAAGAACACTATACTCTATAGTAACTGTTTTCACAGTCTGTATGAAAAATTGCAAAAGCAGCTAGGATGTTGGATTCCATGTATTTCCATTGACTGAAATTATATGAAGACATAATATGAAATTCAATATGAACATAACTAGTACTGGATCATTCAAAGCAAAAATAAAATATTGTAGGCTAGCTATAGGACACATATCTAGAGTGATATAATTTCATGAATGATGGATATTGTTTTGCAATGGTAAATCATTATATGCAAATACAGATATAAAAAAAACCAACACTATATATTAACTAGTTTATAGTTATACCATAGTGAGACTTTTTTACTTTCAATTAGAAATGTTAATTCCACATATTTTACATGATGGTGAACAAGATATATGCTTACTCTTCTTAGATCAAACTCATACAGTTTATCTAAATGGTTCTATCAAAGATATAGATATAAATATGGCTATCATATTATGGATATAATATGGATATGGCTATTATATTATAGAGCTACGGTTCCGCAGATAATTATAACTTAATGATTCTATGTAGTGTTTCAAAAATTTGTTTGTCTTTACATCATTCATTTGTCTTTTTTGTCTTATTGTGTTGTAGATTTTGTTTGACTTAGGTTTTACATGTCCTTTTGATGTCTTCTAGGTGTTTCTTTTTTCTACTATATTGTTTTCAATATATTAATAAGTTAATAAAATTTACATGTATTTAAACAATATCACTGTTGAGGCTACTATTTAAATAAAATTTAAAGACAAACATACATGTACAGACCCTTGATACAAGATGTATGTAGTTTATTATTTACATGTAAAATCATGTCATTTTTCCTAATGTAGTAATTAAACAGATATATTGAAATATTCATACCATACAATTCCTACACGTTTTCAATGATACATCATGTGTTGAAGTACACAAACAACTGGTTATATTATGGTCGCTCATTTGAATAACAATGAAGAGGCATAACATGTGCGTCAAAATGCATAATTTGCACCCGATCTGCAATGATGTTGTCATATAAACATTCGAAAACCTATTAAAGTTTTATCGGACCTTAAGTTTTAAGAAATATCTTATCCAAAAAGGAACAATTGTCAAAAATTCATAAAACCAAGACTTGGTTTTACCAGACATGTGTTTTCGCATCATTTTTAGAAACATTGCAGTTTTTCTAAAGAACCTAAGAAATTTCAATTATCAAAATATGATAACATCAAAATTTTCAACTCAGAGTACCATAAACACTAATCAAATATAAAATTGGGTTGCTCGATTTTCTAAATTCAGACTTTCAAATTGACCACTTACCTCTTTGACTATGACCGGTTTTTTCCAATATGGCGTCTATCCGGAAGTTAGGTAGGCCTGATAGTACCGTTTTCCCTTTACAGAATGTCAGCTAACAGGGGAATATAAGTAAGGGGGAGGGAAACTAATGATAATATGCTGGGAAGATCTTATTCGAACCTGTTGGTACTTTACCATATCAATTGAGTAAATATCAGAGATTATTGAAAAATAAATCGTATCTTGCCATTGGTTTAAAAACATTTACGTCAAAATGACAATAAGTTATAACATGAATATTGATATATTTGAACTCTATTATTCTAAAATTAAAAGGTCAATACAGTTTTGTTTACAAACTAACGCGTATTAATTACAGCCATGCACATGTTTAAATAGGGACCATAATAGGTATATATGATTATAAAATGGCAACATTTAAAAAAAAGACTTTAAATTTATTTGTTTCCGTTGTGCACATATTTTTGTACAATATTAACGATTTGATGACACTCACAGGTAATTTGCATTCTAACTGCAATGCTCCTTTCATGAAACGTGTCACCAGGTTGTTGTATTTCAACTGTTCGATAGTTCTTAATTTCTGTTACTCTTGAGTCAGTGATGATTATTTCATTTTTTATTTTTAATATAGACTATTCTTCTATTAATAAAAGGATGAACTATTTATCTATTTACAACAAAAGCGGCTTGCTTATGACAGCACTTAGACAACAGAATATTTTAGGACCAATGTATTTGTCAATGTGAAATCATATAATATGTACATAAATAAACATTATTGTGACTTTTTCTTTTCTTTTCATCTTATCATTAAAATATATTAAAGAGTTTATAGAAAAAAATCGTAAGGGTTCCGCGGAACCCAGTGTCTCGCCTACTTTTGTTGTAAAAGTGTTATAGTAGCAGGCTCAACAAAAAATGGGGAAAATTATTGATTTTTTTCCTCTAGATACTATCTTTTGATTCTGTCCAACTGAAGTGTGGTTAAAATCCAGGATGGTTTGAATCTAATAAATGTTTTTAAAACTTTAACTGCAGACTGTATGTAATGTTAACTGGAAGAAAACTAAGTCCATTTATAAGTAATATACGGAAAAACAGTAGATACTAGCTTTTGATCATAAACAAGCTTCTATCCAAGTTTTAAAAACTTTTAACACCCAGTCAATGTAATGCTAACTGGCAGAAAAAATAAGTCCATTTATAAGTAAATACGGATAAACAGGATTTTTTTTACAAAATTTACTTCTGGATACTATCTTATAATCATAAACAAACTTCCTTCAAAGTTTGGTAGAAATCGATGATAGTTTCAGAAAGTTATTAAAATTTTAAAAACTGTAACCACAGAGTGAATATTTGTGGACGCCGCAATGTAGGATCGCTATGTCTCGCTTTTGCGACAAAATTCGCAGTCTTGACAAAAAGAAGATGTGGAATGATTGCCAATGAGACAACTCTCCACAAGAGACAGATGACATAGAAATTAACAACTATAGGTTACCGTACGGCATTCAACAATGAGCAAAGCCGTAAATACATATATAGATATAGGAAGATGTGGTATGAGTGGCAATGAGACAACTCTCCGTCCAAGTTACAATTTATGAAAGTAAACCATTATAGGTCAAGGTACGGCCTTCAACACGGAGCATTGGCTCACACCGAATATAGTCAGCTATAAAAGGCCCCGAAATGACAAATGCAAAACAATTAAAACGAGAAAACTAACGGTCTAATTTATGTACAAATTAATGAACGAAAAACAAATATGTAACACAGCAACTAACGAAAACCACTGAATTACAGGCTCCTGACTTGGGACAGGCTCATACATAATGAGGGGTTAAACATGCATGTTAGCAGGGCTATGGTAGAATATTCCAATATAAGAAAAAACCATAAAAAGCAGTTAAAATAGGCATCAACTCATCAGATGGAATCAAACAGAAATACATCTAACTAGATTCGCGCTTACGCTACGCTCTCGCTACGATGGTACAGCGATCTTAGCACGACCTTACTGCGCTCTCGCTACGCTTCTACTACGACCTGATTTCGGCACGACCGCACCACGATTGTTTTGAACATGTTCAAAGTTGGCCACGCTCATCACGATCATGAAGACCTCACCACAACCTTACTGCGATCTTCACGATCGCACTACGATCGTCAAAATTTGCATTTTTTTTCAGAGATCGTAGTGCGATCGTGGCCTTGTGTGACTGCGGCATAAGGAGCACTATTAAAACTTAAACCACTAAGTCGAAAACTCAAATACAAACTGTATGTACATAGTTTGAAAAACTGGATTCCCCATTTACTTTATTTCGTGTCATTCTTTTTTTATGTTTTTGTTCCAAGAACAGAATTCAATCCCTCAAAACAACCAGCTAACTACTTTTTCATGTAGTATGTCTCTGCTTGAACATAACATATTGTGATTAAAAGCACCGAAAACAAATTTTCAAAAGTGTTGGACAGACTGAATATTCCTGGATCATTTGATTCCATTTCATTTGTTCATGAAAACTGGGACCATTTATATTAAACCTAGTTGAAAATAATCAAAGTCAATATCCTATTGAGTTCTCATTCTAATTTTCATTGCCTTTGGTGGCTATTTTGAATTCTCTGTTGACCCAAAATAGTACCTATTGTGAATATGACTGTAATTGGCTGTTATATTTAGTTTCAGTGAGTTGGCTGGTTTAAGAGGAGACCAGAGGAAGCCTTGATGGTTGGTTATCTTGTCGGATTATTTTACACTTTGTAATCTTTGTGTCTTTCATAGATTGCTACACAATGCCATACATACCTGTATTTTCTAACACTTACTTTGGTCTCTGGTGGAAAGTTGTCGCATTGGCGATCATACCACATCTCCCTATTTTATATTGATACAGATCCAAGAAAATAGAAGCTACAAGTATCATTCTATTAAACATACAAAATTTCTGAGAAAGGCAATTCTGTACTTTTGGATATATGTTTTTTTAATTCTAGACAATTTTAGTCAACTTGAACTTTCACATAGACAGTTAATTTATATGTGAGCCTGTCTGTTTTATTTAAATGGTTGACAATATATCATTTATCCATTTCATATCCTTGAGACATTAAAATATTCTGAGCATACATGTAACATGACATGGGAAGAAAGATAGTCACACATACCAAATAGTTCTTATATTTGGGATATTACATGTGACTGTTAATACTAATATATATGTTAGTATTTTCATGATAACAGGTCTAATAACCACTTGACTTGGTTAAAAAAATCTTGGATTCTATGAAAAGGAATGCTTTTCCTTTTAAATGCAGCTTGAAAATGTTGAGTTGATGCCTATTAGCAATTTTAAGATCTGCCATGTCTGCTGTGCAGCTACATCTTGTTTCCTGGTACTTTAGAATTAATTGCATGCAGTCACAAAGGTCCAGACCTGGTATTGTTCTTTTTTTTTTATATTTTATGATGCTCTTGTTAAAACAGTTTTTAAATTTTCAATATCTTTTCTGGTACATGTAGCTCATTTTTACCTGAAATAGAGAAGAGTCATATGGATATTTTGATAATATAAATAAAGAATAAACAAAATTGGCATGTAATTATATAAAGATCAGTGGCAGATCCATACATTTTCATAAGAGGGGACCCAGTCATGTTTCAGTGATTCTCTATATAATCAACCAAATTTTCCCCACCAAATGGTTGGCGGCCCGCTGCCCCCTTTCTAAATCCACCTCTGAAGATAAAATTGTCTTATTGTTACTGCTGATTCATTCAATTGTGTATACAACAGAGGAAAACAGTCCATTAAAATTATATTTTCTAGAAGTATGTTAGATGAGTAATGTACTATTGACAAACATTAACAAGTCCATTTGCCTTGCTTATATACTCGAATGACAAAAAATTGTTTTTCTTAACTGAAATATAGAACTCTTATAAATGTTTGTACATTCACTGATAAGCTGATACATCATTTCTAATAATTATATCATACATGTACATGTACTTACACCTTAAATTCAAACAGTCTCTGTATGTACATGTATCTCTTTCTTTCCATTCCACATACCTCTGCAATCAGATCAGCATCTGCAACAACCAAAATTTAAAGGTGTGAAAACAAAAATTGAAATTTTCAAAGTGCAATTATATCAAAACAGCAAAGATAATGAATATAAGAAATGTGCCATTTTTTGCACATAAACAGGAACCAAGGGGAAACTCCTTTCAAAGCTATACTTTATTTATTGTTTCATTGCATTAAATAGAAAATAGGGATAATGTGGCACAAAAAGCATATAAGATTTTTGAAGAAATTCACAGACTTTATACTGAGATTTTCGTTATAAAATTTATAACATAGATAACTCACTTGTTTGTCCATGATGTGCTAGCGTTTGTTATTTACAAAAAGGCCTAAATAACCTTTACATTCTAAAAAACCTTGTGCTGAGTCACTAAAGTCAAGTGCACCCTAGAAGGTGTACTTGAATTGGTCCATATTTATATTTGTTCTAACCAATATTTTGATTAATAAACTTGTCCTAAGGAAATCATTGCTAGCACTGCATGCAATAATGCTCTATCTATCAAGCATAGAATGGTCAAATATTAGAGTACAAGGGAATGGCTGGATTTTCATTAAAATTTCCATGTTTAGCATTGAAACAACAAAAGGGTACATAATCCTTAAAGAGCTCTAATTAAGAGCTCATGTTCCTTGTTATTAATATTTATATATGCAACCGACTTTAAATAAAGATTACTTTGCTACACTTTACTTAAATGACTATGACATGTATGAGACACACTTTTCATATAATGAGACATATTGTCTCATTGGCACTCATACCACATCTTCTGATATCTATATACAAACTGTATATTATTTCAAACAAAGCTGTCCAGTCTTTTGGGTTTTTTTTATGGTCATGATCATGGATTAAAAAAAAATATGAGTAAATATACTTAAAAGTTCACAGGCGGATCAAGGGGGGTAGGGGGCTTGGATCAGTCAGTGGGCCCCCCTTATAAAAAGTTCTGGATCCGCACTGAAGTTAATCACTTTGGTTGCCTTTATGAAAGGGGCAAAATGCTTACCATGTGCAAAGATTTAATATTGACCTGACAATTAAACAATAACTGAGAGTATACAACAGTACAACATGGTACATTTTTGTAAAAAATATACATGACTATATCAAGCAATGTAAATTATATAATAAAATCTAGGGTATTATTCACTTACATTCTGCCAACACTTAAAGTAGGAACTATTTCTATGTTTCGTCATGACTGTGAAGTAAACAATTTGTGAGGTGGTGTTTGATTAGCATATCAATAGAACAACAACAATGTCAACATGCAACTGCAAACTCGTTATTTTGTTGATTGATTTTATTTTTGTCATTCAACATCGAGTAGTAGAACTTTATACACAATTTGTAATGGATAATATGTCAAAAAATAGAAAATTTTATCTTTTTATTTCATTTTCTTGAAAAAAGTTGAAATCGCAAGTATCTTGCGATTTCGTTTCAATAATTTTCAATAGCACAACTTTTTGGTCGTCTGGTTACAATAGTTTTTACAGTGCGATTATTATTGTCATATAGATAGATCGCAAGTTCATGTTATGTAATATTATGTAGCAGACTTACGTGTCATTCTGATGTATACGATCCGCTAAATCAACCTTTTTGTAAACACAAAACTCGGTCTTCCCCGCATAAACATGGCGGTTGCATTATAGTAAGGAGTTGTTTCCCCTTACTGCAGCTAACAACAAAGAATCACTGGTGATAGGGGAGTGTAACCGATAAATTGATCTTGAATCAGATAAGATTTTCCCAGTAACGGAGAACCCCTTTCTTTGTGTGAATATAAATAGTGACGGGGGTCTCACAAATAAATTTAAATCTGAATTACAGGAACATCGATTAGCAAAGTAAACTTACATATTAATCTCGAAGTTATTTACGGTAAAGACAGACTCCTGAATTAAGGTATTATACATTTGTGTATTTTGTGGGGGGGGGACACTTCCTATATACAAGGTGATAGGACGTGCCGCTGGAATAGGTAACTTTTTCCAGCTTGAAAATATGGGAATAGGTGGGAAAAACTATCAGAAATATATGATAAGGTCGATAAAGTTCCAATTTCTTTTATATGAAAAGCCCTGTCATTCAAGTTTTTCACAGCCGAAAGTCTCGCCTTAGTAAACATTACATACAGAATCTTAGCCTTAAATATTCCACTTTTCCAACACACCCCACGAAAACCAACCAATATGGGAAAAGGTTACTACAATTTTACCCACGCAATATATGTAAAGGTATGCATTTTTAAGATATAAATTATATGAATAGGGTGGGGTAACACTGTGACAACCCCAGCGACACCCCCTATCAATTAAGTATTGAAGTGCCCCCCCCCCCCCCTCCCCCTTCCCCCCGAGGTATTTTACTGCTACAAGATATTTGATTTGCTAATCACGCACCCGTTGATGAGCAGAGAACCATACTTTCAAGCCAGGGACAGTCTATACTAACAGTTAGTATAGAAAGTCCCTGTAAAAAGGCAGGCAAATCCTAACAGTACTGTAACTTAATGATACATGTATATCAAGTTACAGCACCTCACCCAGCACAGTTAGCACACTGGTGTGTGTTAGTCTTATAATATAAAACTGCGTATATAGGTTCATATCGTTTGATTCAATGTTTTTTCGGATATTTTTTAGGACCGTTGTCAACATTGTCAAATCCGACCTGCCACTTTGCAACATGACCTGCAAAAATATAATTCGACTAAAAACAATGCCAGTCAAAATTGCTTTTTGAGACTGGGCGACTGAAAAAGTTTTAAAACGTGACCTTATGACCCTACTTGGAATTCTTCATTCATCGGCGTGTGTCGGTGTGGCTAAAAAGGGGGCAATGTTTTTTTTTCTCGGGACAAAAAATTGTTTCTATCTTTATTAAAAAAAAATTAAGAAAAATCATAAACTTTTTTTTCAAAACTCAGTGTCGTATTTTATTGTTTTCCCAACAATTTTTAATAAAACCTTGAAATGTTTTTTTCACTTCCCTCCTGATTTCTTTTCTCAAGAAATTATAGAATCAGTACATGGATATATATATATATATATATATAAATAAGTCTAAATTGAAAACAACGTTCAAATCTATGATTGCGTTGGATAAAAACCGCAATTTTTATACGTGTGCATGTAAAACAAATTTCTTGTTAAAGGGGTCTAAATACAGCACAAACAACATTTTCCAAAAGACCAAAAAAGTGAAAAAGTATATTTTAACAAAACGCATTTGACTAACAGGTCGAACAACGGATGTTCTTAAACCCTGCTGACTGCCATTGGCGATTGCCAAATAAATTGATCACAGATGTAACAAAATGATCTTAATAGTAATTTAATACAAAACAGAAAAAAATAAACTTGTGGAAAAGATGTTATACCACAACCATGAGGTGCAAAAATTTGTACACCATATCCGGATTTCGACAATTAATGTCTCTTCAGTGATGTTAGGGATCGAAACGGTATTTGGAAGGCCATATAATTTACCTCGATTTAGGATAGACTCTTGTCAATGAATTTTAAAGAGTCGAAATAGGATGAACGGATCATATGAACCCGAAGGAAAATATAATACAAGCCCAAACGAAAAAATATAAACAAGTCTAAATTGAAAACAACGTTCAAACCTATGATTGCGTTGGATAAAAACCGCAATTTTTATACGTGTGCATGTAAAACAAATTTCTTTTTAAAGGGGTCTAAATACAGCACAAACAACATTTTCCAAAAGACCAAAAAAGTGAAAAAGTATATTTTAACAAAACGCATTTGACTAACAGGTCGAACAACGGATGTTCTTAAACCCTGCTGACTGCCATTGGCGATTGCAAAATAAATTGATCACAGATGTAACAAAATGATCTTAATAGTAATTTATTACAAAACAGAAAAAAATAAACTTGTGGAAAAGATGTTATACCACAACCATGAGGTGCAAAAATTTGTACACCATATCCGGATTTCGACAATTAATGTCTCTTCAGTGATGTTAGGGATCGAAACGGTATTTGGAAGGCCATATAATTTACCTCAATTTAGGATAGACTCTTGAATTTTAAAGAGTCGAAATAGGATGAACGGATCATATGAACCCGAAGGAAAATATAATACAAGCCCAAACGAAAAAATATAAACAAGTCTAAATTGAAAACAACGTTCAAACCTATGATTGCGTTGGATAAAAACCGCAATTTTTATACGTGTGCATGTAAAACAAATTTCTTGTTAAAGGGGTCTAAATACAGCACAAACAACATTTTCCAAAAGACCAAAAAAGTGAAAAAGTATATTTTAACAAAACGCATTTGACTAACAGGTCGAACAACGGATGTTCTTAAACCCTGCTGACTGCCATTGGCGATTACCAAATAAATTGATCACAGATGTAACAAAATGATCTTAATAGTAATTTAATACAAAACAGAAAAAAATAAACTTGTGGAAAAGATGTTATACCACAACCATGAGGTGCAAAAATTTGTACACCATATCCGGATTTCGACAATTAATGTCTCTTCAGTGATGTTAGGGATCGAAACGGTATTTGGAAGGCCATATAATTTACCTCGATTTAGGATAGACTCTTGTCAATGAATTTTAAAGAGTCGAAATAGGATGAACGGATCATATGAACCCGAAGGAAAATATAATACAAGCCCAAACGAAAAAATATAAACAAGTCTAAATTGAAAACAACGTTCAAACCTATGATTGCGTTGGATAAAAACCGCAATTTTTATACGTGTGCATGTAAAACAAATTTCTTTTTAAAGGGGTCTAAATACAGCACAAACAACATTTTCCAAAAGACCAAAAAAGTGAAATAGTATATTTTAACAAAACGCATTTGACTAGCAGGTCGAACAACGGATGTTCTTAAACCCTGCTGACTGCCATTGGCGATTGCCAAATAAATTGATCACAGATGTAACAAAATGATCTTAATAGTAATTTATTACAAAACAGAAAAAAATAAACTTGTGGAAAAGATGTTATACCACAACCATGAGGTGCAAAAATTTGTACACCATATCCGGATTTCGACAATTAATGTCTCTTCAGAGATGTTAGGGATCGAAACGGTATTTGGAAGGCCATATAATTTACCTCAATTTAGGATAGACTCTTGAATTTTAAAGAGTCGAAATAGGATGAACGGATCATATGAACCCGAAGGAAAATATAATACAAGCCCAAACGAAAAAATATAAACAAGTCTAAATTGAAAACAACGTTCAAACCTATGATTGCGTTGGATAAAAACCGCAATTTTTATACGTGTGCATGTAAAACAAATTTCTTGTTAAAGGGGTCTAAATACAGCACAAACAACATTTTCCAAAAGACCAAAAAAGTGAAAAAGTATATTTTAACAAAACGCATTTGACTAACAGGTCGAACAACGGATGTTCTTAAACCCTGCTGACTGCCATTGGCGATTACCAAATAAATTGATCACAGATGTAACAAAATGATCTTAATAGTAATTTAATACAAAACAGAAAAAAATAAACTTGTGGAAAAGATGTTATACCACAACCATGAGGTGCAAAAATTTGTACACCATATCCGGATTTCGACAATTAATGTCTCTTCAGTGATGTTAGGGATCGAAACGGTATTTGGAAGGCCATATAATTTACCTCAATTTAGGATAGACTCTTGAATTTTAAAGAGTCGAAATAGGATGAACGGATCATATGAACCCGAAGGAAAATATAATACAAGCCCAAACGAAAAAATATAAACAAGTCTAAATTGAAAACAACATTCAAACCTATTATTGCGTTGGATAAAAACCGCAATTTTTATACGTGTGCATGTAAAACAAATTTCTTGTTAAAGGGGTCTAAATACAGCACAAACAACATTTTCCAAAAGACCAAAAAAGTGAAAAAGTATATTTTAACAAAACGCATTTGACTAACAGGTCGAACAACGGATGTTCTTAAACCCTGCTGACTGCCATTGGCGATTGCCAAATAAATTGATCACAGATGTAACAAAATGATCTTAATAGTAATTTAATACAAAACAGAAAAAAAAACTTGTGGAAAAGATGTTATACCACAACCATGAGGTGCAAAAATTTGTACACCATATCCGGATTTCGACAATTAATGTCTCTTCAGTGATGTTAGGGATCGAAACGGTATTTGGAAGGCCATATAATTTACCTCAATTTAGGATAGACTCTTGAATTTTAAAGAGTCGAAATAGGATGAACGGATCATATGAACCCGAAGGAAAATATAATACAAGCCCAAACGAAAAAATATAAACAAGTCTAAATTGAAAACAACGTTCAAACCTATGATTGCGTT